CTGATAGATATTGGGCTGATACAACACAGTCCTTGGGCTCTTTATGGACTTTTGCTTTCTTCTGCAGTTCATGTTGTTAGTTGCACATTGTCAGAGATACCCGAATGTTACAAGAGCAGGTACTGTAACTGTTACCTGTGGTGCTGCAGGATATTTTTGTGATGAGAGGTGTAGGTATTTTCCATTGTACTGTTGTACCTGAAGGCTATCTGAAAATGTATTTGCTTTAAAATATTGCAAAGCATTATTTAGCAGCTTTCGATCCCAAATAAAACCAATTGTAAATGCCCTAGCTTATATTAGTTTAAATACAAGCTGCAGCTGTACATTGGTCATTTTGTGCTGAGATCACACATGGACTAGATGCATTCTTGAGTGTTCTCTTCTAGCCTTATTATTTGTCTCTACATTAAATCAAAAGGTGCCAAAGGCTTTTTTTCAGTCTGTACATTTGCACTCTGACCTCTCCTTAATGGATGTTTACACCAGTTGGGTAAGAGCATTATAAATCTATTTTCGTACTGAGTTTTTTAAGCTAGCAGTGTTGGTACATCAGAGACAAATGGTATTTTCAGGCTTGTGTAGAAATAGAGACATTTGTTGTGTGGTATCATGATAATGCTATCTGTTTCTGAAGATGCTTTTGATCTATTTAGAAATGACAGTCTTCAAAATTGTTGGCTGCCAGGAACATGTTCTTACATGCTAGCCTAAGAATAAGCTAACTCCTCTAATGTACCTTCTCAGAACTCAATTCTGACATTATCACAAGGTATTCAGCCTAGATGTTGAATAAATCTACCTACCATACTGCTAAAACAGCATTTAATACCCCTGCATTGTATAAACAACACAAATAGAATAGTCTGATATTAAATACATAATTTAATGTAAAGTAAGAGTGGGTTTCCTTTTTCTTACTGAGCTCACACTATTTGTAAGTGACAAGAGAGGTGGTGGTTTTGTTTTTCAGGTGTAATGTTGTGACTCTAAACCTCAAAAATTGATATACAGCTAACTGGGGATACAGTTGTAATTTATTATTTGGGCTCCAGGGAATGCAGGACTTAATTGAAAAAGCTGTTAATAAAAATTGCATATCTAGTGCTGTTGTAGCCTTGCTTCTTGGGAAGCAGAAATCTTAGCAAATATGGATAGCTCCAGTTCAAGTCAAATACAATTGTTTGGCAGGGTTGTTATTTGCTTGCACAATTATAGAATCATAGAATACTTAGGGTTGGAAAGGACCTTAAGATCATCAAGTTCCAACCCCCCTGCCATGGGCAGGGACACCTCGCTCTAAACCGTATCACCCAAGGCCTCATCCAACCTGGCCTTGAACACTGCCAGGGATGAAGCATTCACAACCTCCCTGGGCAACCTATTCCAGTGCCTCACCACCCTAACAGGAAAGAATTTCCTCCTTATATCCAATCTAAACTTCCCCTGTTTCAGTTTTAACCCATTACCCCTTGTCCTATCACTACAGTCCCTAATGAAGAGTCCATCCCCAGCATCCCTATATGCCCCCTTCATATACTGGAAGGCTGCTATGAGGTCTCCACGCAGCCTTCTCTTCTCCAGGCTCAATAGTCCCAACTTTCTCAGCTGATCTTCATACAGGAGGTGCTCCAGTCCCCTAATCATTGTCATAGCCCTCCTCTGGACTTGTTCCAACAGATCCATGTCCTTTTTATGTTGAGGACATCAGAACTGCACACAATACTCCAAGTGAGGTCTCACGAGAGCAGAATAAAGGGGCAGGATCACCTCCTTTGACCTGCTGGTCACGCTCCTTTTGATGCAGCCCAGGATACCGTTGGCTTTCTGGGCTGCAAGCGCACACTGCCAGCTCATGTTCATTTTCTCATCGACCAGCACCCCCAAGTCCTTCTCCGCAGGGCTGCTCTGAATCTCTTCTCTGCCCAGCCTGTAGCTGTGTCTGGGATTGCCCTGACCCAGGTGTAGGACCTTGCACTTGGCATGGTTAAACTTCATGAGGTTCTGCTGTACTTGCAAAATTGTGTATGGTATGAATTATACAATTGAGAGTACAGTGAGTACAGAAAGTTTGGGAGGTGTGTTTTGTGTGTGTGTGTGTGTGTGTGTTTGGTTTGGTTGGTTATTTATTTTTATAAAACTTTTGCTTCTAGCTCCTGCCTGGCAATTCTGCTTTATGATGAGGCTGTGGCATGAATCCTGAATCCTGCAGTATGCTAGAAAATCGCATACTGGTTTCATCTCTCTGTAACTGAGATGTTCAGTGCTTGTCAGGATCAGTTTCTGTGTTAAAATCTAGTGGTGGTCTGTACAGCTTACCCATTTTCATAGATGGAAGTTTGGTCCTGTTCTAGCTCATAGAGTTGTTATAAAAAGTTATTAATATGTGTTACCAATGAACATGATTGGAAAAATGCGATTAATAATTGCAGGGTTTGGTACTGTCTCTTTTTCTTGCACATACTGACCCAACTCTCATGTTCTTTGTTTTTTTAGGTTGTTGAAGACTGGAAATTTATTGCTCAGGTGCTTGATCAAATGTTCTTATGGACCTTTCTTTTGGTTTCAATAGTTGGATCACTTGTGTTATTTATTCCTGTTATTCATAAATGGGCAAATATAATAGTACCTACAAATATAGGCAGTACAAATGCATAACATAGTTTCGGATCTGTGTCCTGCTAACATAGCTCAGGAGTTTTGCAGTAGCTCTATTTCCATGTATGTTCTTTGTAGGCATGTTTCTGATAGAGTAACAAAAAATCCAAACCCAGAAAATTATGTTTATTCTAAAGCATGGCATCCCTAGGACACATAGAAGTCAGTTTGCTTATTGCCAGTCTACTAAGTTACCTTTAAATCAGGTCAGAATTAGAAGGATCTTCTCAAGCCCTCACATGTATGATACGTCAGAAAGCTGTGCACAGGCGCCTGCTGCAAGGTAGAAGAATTTAGAATGTTTTAGTGATGATTGCTAGAGTCCAATTGTTAAGTTATTGTAGGAATTGTTATATTGAATATTAAACACTTGCAGATATTAACACAGTAGAGTTGCTTATTTCAATTTCCTATAGTATGCAAAAGAGAACTTCCAGCGGCTCTCTTGAATGTGTTGTAAAAGTATAAGGTTTATACAAAGTAAATTCAAAATAATAATAATACCAATAAAAATTCCTGTATATCCAACATATCAGTAAAAGTAGCAATCTGGCTGTGTTTTGCCTGTATAAATTCAATGGAATTTGCAGCTAAATTTCAATCCTTTTTAATTTTGTTATACTAACACAAACATTTAATATAGTAAACTTTATTAACAAGCCTGCAGGATACAGGTATATCAATATCTCTGTGTCAGTTATGGAGAAGAAGACAGACACAATTAAATGAGTTCCCAAGTTGCACAGGTATTCTAATGGATCAGAACATTAGATATAGTTATTCTTGATGAAGGATTTGATACAGTATGTTAGTTGAAAACAGGTTAATCATTTCCTGCCTTTGTGTGTTTCTCAGAATTAAGTTTTTAAGCACAATTAGAAGGAATATGGGGAATGCCCTTCTGAAGGAAATGGGTTGAAAACTACTATGCTGCGTAACCAATTGAAATGATTGGTATTTCACACAGTTGTTAAACTCCACTTAGAAATTTACCTTTTAATCAGTTCTCTCCATTATAGAACCACATGTAACTCTAAACAGTGAGGACTTGCATCTTTCCATGCTTTTTTCTGAAAGTGCTGAAAACTAACTTGTACCTTTTAATCCATTAAGATATATTCTTTAAATACTGATTTTAAATGTATTATGATGCCACCTTTCTTAAAAGCTTTATTTCTGGAAGAGACACTAAAATTGATGGGGGTTCTTCACCACCAAAGTTTTGTCAGTGCACTTCATAGTGTTGCATCCTGCAGGGCTAGTGCAGTAATGCCAAGGTGGAGCAAGTCTTGGGAGGTTTTTATTTTTGTTTGCTTAGATTTCTACATTAATATTAACATGCTTAGATTAGAAATGTAATGTAAATTGTGGTATCTTGGATAATGTAAGTTATGAATATGGAAAATGCATAAGTATTTCCCCCCATCTCTTTTAAGAATAGTGCCATTTGGCACTGTACTGATCATAATACTGATTGCTTATATCATAACCTACAGATTATTGAATATTTATTTCAAATGGTTTTCACGTGTAGGACATTCTTGGGTTTGTGTAGCATTCAAAGGCTCACAGAACTTACAATATGCCAGCTTATAATTAATTCTGATTATAAAGAGAGTCCCTCCTTCCTTTTCAGTTATACAATTACATCTAGCATTGGATATCCTTATTTCCTCTATTCCCATCATAATTAATTTCAAACATGATTTTGCAAAAATTATCTGATTTAATCCATTAATATAATTTTAACTTTCTCAGGATTACTAAGATTAAACAATGCATCAGTGGCTTTCTCTGCATGGAAGTTGCAGAAATATGTTAGGTATCTTCTTTCCTCTTCAAATGCTAAATTACTTTTTATAGTCCTCCTTGGGTTTGAATTACTGCATTTTACCTTTACCTGAACAGCAAATAAACCTGTAGGTTAGGTAGATCTGTTATTTTCTTGATCTCCCCAACTCATCTCTTTCCTTCTCTCAAATGATGTCTGTAAGCCCACTTACATCACAAGGCGATGGGCAGTATATTGGCTGAGGGAGTCCCAGTCTTTATACTAGTAACTCAAAGTTTTACAAATGTATTAATTTCTTTTAGTCACATCTACAATCTGATCATGATAAATACAGCTAAGATAGGTGACACTAGAATTCTTAGGGTCTTCAGCTTATCAGGTGTGCCTGAAACAAAATACTTTTAATAGACTCAGAAGCATGGACCTTTCCTTATGTAACTTGTTTCTGAATGTGTTGAACTGTAGCTAATGCTGTCTTACACAGGCTTTTGTTACTTGGTCAAAATAAATGAAAAAAGAAAAAATGCATGATTTTCAACTGTTTGATTCTCTTTATTTTCATCTATGTTACACCACTTGATACACTGTATTTCCAAAAAGTTTCCAGTTTGGTACAGAGACAACAGTTCATACACTTACAAAACATTTTCTCGTTGCAGTATTTGGTTGCATTCTTTATTCATGCTCTTAAATTATCTGCAGTTACTGATTTTAAAACCAAAGTATGCCTAGGAAGCAATTTTTGCATGCTTTACAGGACTGTCGTGCAGCTACCTGCTTTCCCTTGTCACAGAACACTTGGCTATAGAAAGATGCTTCTGCATCCGAACTATCCTAGCAAAATATTTTGATTCTTTGCATAACCTGCACACTGCATCTTAGTGTGTGTCCTGTACATAGTTTTAAACATTATTAGGTTGGAATAGCTTGTTTTTTTCTGGCAGACTTCTCATACACTGAAATACACGAATGCACAGACTTTACATTCTGGCTGCTTTATTACTACCATCTGTGATTTACCTATTTGTTTTCCTTTTTTAACAAACCTCCCCTTGGTCCTTTCCTCCCACTGTTTGATTCAGTTTATACACCAGGTGGCAATGTCTGCATTCTATCAATTTGGTATGCATGCTTCCTGAAACATTTTGTCCTCATGAGGGCATTCATTGAATTCAGTCTGAACTTAATTCCAGAAGATCCTGTCATACTCTGGAGACACTTGGCACCAGACTTACTGAAACAACTCCAGTAGCCTTCAACCTGTTTTGACTTTCAAATACTCAAGTAATTTTCAGTTTCTTTATCAATCCTCTTCTCAAACCATTCCTGTGATGTTTGGTGTGCTGCCTACATCTTTTCCAGTTAATGCAAGAAGCAGATTTCCAGTTAATACAAGAAGCTTGTATTACTTTGACATTGGCTGTCTTAAAGGTTTAAAATATTTTCTTTTTTTGTGTTTTCATGTTTTTAACAAAGCCTTCTTGGTCAAGCAAAGTTGAGGCCAAGAGAGATCCTTATTCTGCCACACAGAAGAGACATCGGGTGCTGTGGTGGGGGTGCGGAGTTGCTCAGCAAAAGTTTTATTTGATGTCACAACGCTGTATTTAATCTTTACATTTCATCTCCAGCCATCAAAGGTTGTAAAAACAATCCTGCTGTTCCTAGAATACATACCAGGATGAAAACCCACAGGAAAATACGATCAATTACCATGGCAACGTATTTCCAGTCATCCTGAATCTGAAAAATAAATGGAATAACAAGTAGGCATGTTTATTAGATCAATAACTTGCATCAGCAATTGGTACCATCTTAGGAAGGAAACACGTGGTTTTTCCCTTGTAGATGTCTTTCATATATGCACAACTTGCATTTCATGGATGAATTAACTAATCTTGAAGAAGCTTTATTTGGATGTGCTATTTGTGGCAAAGCCAAAAGCTACTTCTTCATGTACAGAAAGTTATTCGCTAAGACACTGGACTTCATAAGATAAGACTTCTCTCTGTATGCCAAAAATGAAAGCGAAAACTTTACATTCTTGGGTGATCAGGTTTGCCCAGAAAACTACTGAAGTAAAGAGGCTGCTTCTAGTGGTCTTTGATGATAAAAAGACAAAAGTTAATGGGTGTATAATTAGTTGTAGTGCTGTAATTTGATTGTTATCATGTATGATGTAAAACCCATCTCTTTACCTCCCATGTAAGGAGGGAACCAAGTTTCCAAAACCCAGATTTCTGGTTTTGTTTTGGTTTTTGAGTGGGCATTGTAACAGGAGGCACACTAGAATATAACAAATGTTGTATATTAATAGTAACTACGTTACGTGATCACTGGAGTTACTCTTGAGATTACAATTTCAACTTTTGCTTCATTTTCTTCAGGAAGGCTTAGATATGAATAATACACTTACTGTTTTTGAAATGTTGTGCTTTTTAGCTTAGAACTTGTTTGTTAAGGCACACTTTAAAAAAGCTCAACTGAACCAGCTCCATATTTTCTATGCCCACTTACTCTAAAGTTCTGATTTTGGCATAAACAAAGCAACTTTATTTTAACTTTAAATGCCGTAGCACATAAGATTGAAATTGAGTGACAACTGTGGTGGTGTGGCTACTGTTCTTAATATGTTTGAGGAGCACGATAGGAAGAAAACTTTGTTTTCATTGCCTTAAGATGCAGTTTTGAGAGAGATCATGGTCACTGTCTTGCAGCAGCTGTCTCATTTAGCTACAGCACCTTTCTTTGCTGCAGCAGCACAATAACTGTGAAGGACGTTTATTCTTAAGTTCCTCGTTATTGCTGGTAAGCTCTGGAAGAGAGAATGTAACTTTCTAAAGACCATAGTCAACAAATTCCACTGTTAACATTATAACTTGGAAAATCCTCATCCCAAGTCTCATAGGATAGATACTCAAGTGTGGTGGTTACCTTGACGTGAATCGCTTAGTATGTGTGTTGTCAGTAAAGAGAATGTTGTGCAACACAGCTGCTCCCCAAAGTGATTTACATTCAAAACTACACATTTGTCATAGAGCTTGGGTAGGTGTATAAAATAATGGTTTGTGGTGTCCTTTTTTTTTTCCTTGGGGGTGCATGTACTGTGGGGGATTTGAGATCTCTTTCTTACAAAACACACTAATGGCAAATGGTGGCTGCAGTCTGAGTAACAGTAAAATATGTTCTTACCTCTTTTGCTTCATTCTGCATTTTCATATTTTCTGCAATATATTTAACACTTTCAATAGCATCTCTCATTTCTGGTGACAGAACTGAAAACGAAAACAGAGGATCTACAGACTCGGAGCTTGAACTTCTTGTGAGATTGCCACTGAAATCAGAGAACTTCATTCGCTGGTACTGACAACAGCTGCATGCCATGTCTTGACATACAAAGCCATCTTTGCAGCATTTGGTTTCGGAACTGTTGAAGCAATTTAAGTTTGAAAACTCAGAAGTGAAAAATGGTTTTGGCTTCTGATTATTATCATCATCACTGGCAGGCCTTGTCATAAACATGATCCTGGGAAGTAAGTTCAAGAAAATGGTTCTCACCCACACTGGCATTGTGTGTGTCTTGGGTGTCCTGTAGTGTACGTTAAGTACAAAGACTGTAATGACGATAGATAGAGTTACAAATATCATGGTGAAAAGGAGGTATTCCCCAATAAGTGGAATTACCAGGGAAGTAGAAGGTATGGTTTCTGTGATAACAAGAAGGAACACTGTTAAAGATAGAAGGACTGATATGCAGAGTGTCACCTTCTCACCGCAGTCTGAAGGCAAGTAGAAAACTAACACAGTCAAAAAAGAAATCAGCAGGCATGGAATAATCATATTGATAGTGTAGAATAAAGGTAAACGCCTAATGTAAAGAGAATATGTGATGTCTGGATATATCTCTTCACAGCAGTTGTATTTGATGTCATGTTTATAGCCAGGAGCTTTAATAATAGCCCATTCTCCACTCTCCCAGTAATCTTTCAGGTTCATTGTAGAGCCAATCAAAACTAAGTCAATTTTGGCTTTATCATAAGACCAGGAACCAAACTTCATGGTGCAGTTCTGATAGTCAAATGGGAAGTAGGTTACATCTATTTTACATGAGCTTTTAAATATAGCTGGAGGGATCCAAGTCACATCACCTGTGTATTTTAAGAGGGCCTTTGTCTTGTCATCAACCTGGAAATCCCCAACTGCACTGTGAAGCAAATAAAAACAACAATTAGAATGTGACTACTCTAGTAGTTTCATACATTCAGATCATATGCACTAACTCTTTAATCTGTTCTGGGAAAGTCAGTAAGTACACTTTGACATGGAATTGGATTTCATGTGCAGGACTGAGTCAGTGGTCGTCACCAATTTGCATAGTTTAATAGCTGTATAAATAACATGGCTCAGTGCAATAAATATGCAAAACTGCAAATAGAAGATTGCAAATGACAGACCAATAGATAATCCTTGTAGGTCCCTTCCAACTCAACTATTCTATTCTATTCTAGAGCAAGCACATCAGAGCAAAGGGCTGATCAGAGGATAGCTGCAGTACTGCTGTTTCCACCTCTTCTGTGAACAGTGCAGGTAGTAATTATGAAAAGAGGGATTAGGGTTGGGGTGCATCTTTGCATAATGAAGGTATTTGGTGAGGGTTTTTTTTAAGTGCCACAATGCTATCCTGACCATGTGGATCTTAGATCTGTGTGACAATTTCAGTCATTTATATGAGAAAGTAGAACTAAAAAGGTAATTAAAGTTTTAAGGCCATAGTTAGAAAAGGACTATCATCCCTGTTGTTCCACAGACCTCAGTTTTGGATGTGTGTAGCTAAATCCATTGCCTGAGTACTGTTTCCCTGCTGTCATGGTGCTTAAACCATGACACCTAGCAGAGGGATCCATTTAGTTATGATCTGGCTTCTTGAGGTTTCAGAAACTGACATCCAAAGTAGACTTCACCTGTGGCTCTTGTACACCAATGCTATTATTGCAAAGCTGTCAAATTGTGAGTTTGAAAGCTAATATTTGCAGGGGGTTTCAGTTGAGGTCTGACGCCCAGACAAGAACTCTCTGGTCTAAGGGAATTTCTTGTCAGCTCCTCTGAGGACAGCAATAAAATAATAATAAAACTGGGTGCTTGTGAAGGAGAAAAGGAAAGGTTGCTCTGGCCTGCAGCTCCAGGTGAGGAGCTGGCTCCTGCCCAGCGGTTCTCATGGGGATGGCACAGAGGTGAGCACAGCAATAGGGTGATGGGGACACAGGTGCAAACCAGGCTTTTTAGTTCATCCAGTGAACCTGCTGCTGATTTTAAAGTCATAACATCACCCCTCATCTTCCCAAATTATGAAGATAAACATGCAAGAGTCTTACTTGTTATATAATACAATATCTGGCTTCCAGATCTGGCCAGATGGTACTCGGATAAATTCAGCGCCTCCATAGTCCGCTGGATTCCACCGAAGCTTGTAGTCATTCCAGATCTAATTATAGAAGAAATTAGTCTGTGTTAGGTTTCAATGGGCTAGACTCAAACCAAGAGCTGTCATATTGCTTGTGGAGTTGTTTTATTTTGGATGCTACACGGATTTGATGTTTCTGTATCAAACATATGTCTGGTGTTTATTCACATGGAGATTGTGGATGGGCCTATTGGTCTAGACATGGCTCAGATGTGTGACTGTGTGCCAGGAATGTCTACTCTGGAGTTGAAATAAGGTGAAAGATGGAATAAGACACTCTTTTGCCAGAGAGTGTAGGACTTTAATACTAACTGAGGTCTCAAAAAGCCATGGGGTGTTTTCACACCCAGGTGTGAGCACTGAGTGAAGGACCCCGGGTAGCAGGTGGAGAAAGAGCTGGAGGTGTCATTGCCCCATTAAGTGGCAGTTGTCTTCATTAGGGCTCGTTAAACCCCTGTTCAGCGAAGCTGGATATGAAGGTGAAGGCAGGAATCAAGCTGGTTTTAAGCTGATTGCAGCAGTGAGCGATTGCATATTTAACCCGTAAAGGCCTATTTGAGTGAAGTCAATGCTGTTGGTTCGCTCTGGCTTCCCGGAGGCTGCACTGGCCCCGAGCAGGCGGCGCGGCGGGACCGGCGCGGGGCCTCCCTCAGCGCTCGGCGGCCGCTGGGGGGCAGCAGCGCGCCGGGCAGCGCTCGGCGGCGGCACTCCCGCTGAGGGGACGGCGGGCGGGTGGGTGCCGTCGGGTGTGCGGTGAGCTGTACTTACGTGCTTCAGCCACAGGTTGGTTTCCATGATCTGGTTGACTTCATCCTGGAAAGGAGAGGTGTGTCGGCTGAGGCACCGGCCCTCCCGCCTTCAGCGGCCTTGCCCCGGCGGGGCGGGTACTCACCACCTTCACCAGCTGCGACATAGACACCTCGAATTGGATGATGACGGGGTCCGAGACGTTCTTGACGGGCCGGACGAACTGGTTGTAGTTCTGGAAGAGGGCCGCGTAGAGCCGGTGCTCGGCCTCGGAGCCGCCGCAGCCTGCGGAGGGCACCGCGGGGTCAGCGCCGCGGCGGCAGTGAGCGGGCCCCGGCCTGCGGCCCCCAGTGTGGAGAGGCCCGACCGGAGCGGGAGAGCCGCGGTTGGCACCTGCGTGGCTGGGTATTGACTGCTTGGGGAAAGGCCAAGCCTCGCCAAAGCAGGCAGGAGTGTGTCATGGTTGGCATTTGCTTAAGCTGGGAGAGGGAAAGCAGTGAAAGGCAATGCTATGGACAGAGTTTTTCTCCTGTGTATCTCTGCAGTGGGGTTCAAAAACTAGTTAGAGGGAGTTACTAGAGAAGTGGAGATGCAAAAGCACTTTCTCCTCCAAAGCCGAGGGCCCTAGACCTGCCAAAGCTGCAGGGCTCTGGAGCAGAGGAGGGGAGAAGTGTGACCCGATGGACCAGGGTGCTTGTGAGCCGCTGTGGAGTGTTTTGCAATAGGATTCCCAGGAAATGAGAACTCTGAGCCAGGATTGCGTGTTAGAGTGATACAGCTGCCTGCTTTTTGGAATATGGAAAAAAGGGGGGGGTTTAAAATTTGATTAACCTCTGTATTCAAAGACTTTTCAACACACTTAAAAGTAATATGCTGATTACCCATTTATTCATATTTTTATTTATCATATGTTTCTGTTGTCCATTTTGCCACTGAAAACTGCTGTTCATGGAGTCCTGTGGGCAACAGAAAAGCCGTGATTTGAAATTTTTAACCAGCAAGGTGTTGCAGCTGTTTTGGAGCCTATGTTTCACACTGCCTTTTTGTTCTCTAGCAATAGGTAGCTAGGCAATAACCATCCTGACAGCTGAACACTGTTTAAAAGCTGTTTTTAGGGGTCTCTCTTTTACATTCTCTCCTGGGCAACACACCCTCAAGCACTCCAAATGGAAAACAAAACTAATAAAAAGCCCATTTGTCATTTATGGATGACACTGTGCCAGTTCAGCAGAGGCACAGAACTGAAGTCTGTTGAACGTACTCTGCAGTTCGTTTGAAACACAAATATAAATCTACAGATATTTGCAAGGGCACATTTACATTTTGCCAGCCAGTTAGTTTTCAGAAGAGAAAGAATGGGAGGCAGGAGTGTCTGCAGGTGACTGATCCATGGTGTTCTGCAAGGCGGATGTTACTTCATATGAGCCCCCTCTCCCTGAGACAACAGGGTCCCCTTTATGTGAAACTGTATTCAGGTGAAAGCTCTTTCTTGTCTTTATTTCTTTGCTCCCTTTCCCCCTCTCTTGTTCAGTGGGAGGGCAGTGTCCTTTTCAGATCAGTGAAATCATTCAAGCTAACTTGTTAACTAAAAAATGAACACATTTATTTTATATTTTTTAGCTGCTAACCTTGCCGTTATTATCTATGGGTATCTTGTATGTCTCAGATCAGTATTTTGTGGAATAAATACTCCCAAATCTTTTAGGCAAATGATTTTACAGCATGATCTGAATGACTCTTTACTGTAGTCAGTCCAGAATTACCAGCCTTTTTACATGTCTGCAGCACTCTAATTACATGTAGCATCCGCTGTATCTAAGAGAAGGGCATTTATGTTTGTTTTGGTTCTTTATTTTAATGGTTTGGTGTTTTCCAGATCTGCAGAGAAAAGGTGCACTGTTTGCAGCCTGGACTTAAAGCTGTTTAATGTTGTCAATTTCTTGTGGTCTTCTCCACAGTATGCAAAACCACACCTTAGTATGTAAGGTGCTTTCTTTTTATAATGTGAAAATGGCTTTGTGTGTCCTGGTTGGCATTTGGAATCAGCAGTATTTAACTACTCTACAAGGAGAAATTAAAATAAAACCCCAAACCACACCAGCCGCAGCAAACTGTGCAACAAAAAGAGCTGTACTGGGATTCTGTACAAGTATCAATCGGTTCGAAGGGAGCTCCAGCACTTCTTCAAAATCATTTGCACCAAAGCCATCTGTTCACCTTTTCACCCACCCCTTCACCAACCCCGAATAAACAAACTGAGGATCACTCACCTTGACAGAGAGAGCAAACAGCAGCAGTTAGCAGGAGAGCCTGCATGCTCTCCATGGCGTTAGGAATTACTGCCTGTCGACAGAGGCTGTTGAAGATGAGCTTAGCTGCTAGGATTGCCCGAGCTTGGGAAGTACAGCGAGCTCCGCTCCTCCGATGCGTGAAATGCCTGGAAGCAGCAGCCGGCAGGACCCTGCGTGCAGTTCTGTGCAGTGAGATCCCATTAAGTTTGCTGTGCTGCCCCCTTTCTACCTACGCGGGCTGTCAGATCATTAGAAATGGCCAATAAATTGCAGGCAAACCAGATGTTACTGTAGGCAAGGAGCAGCCTTCTGGCAAGGGTAATAGGTAGGAGTTCTTAAACTGGTGCATAAATGAACTTGGTAATTTGACAATGCTAAAGATTTTTCTAGTCAGCTGCTGTACAGGATCCTTCTCTATCAGAAGCTCATGGCAGTCTACTAGGAGAAGTTTAATTAATAAAACTCTTATAATTGAATTGTGCTGAAATGGATATTGACATTAGGGATGCCTGATTTAGCAGTGAACTGCGATCATGGGACCTGAATTTCCAATTCTGCTGTTAATGTTGAGGTTTTTTTCCTTGCCTGTGTCTCATCTTGCAAGTGCATGTGCTAGGTGCATGACTGTATAAAAAGGAAGTGCTACTCCCAGGAGTAATTAAAGGCATGTACTACTGTTGACAGGATCTAAGCTCAGAGCAATGTACATAGCAGCTGGGATCTGTCAAGAGCCAGGGGTTTCAGTAGGAGATCCAGCTTGACTAAACTCTTGAGAATAACTGTCTTTGGACTGATCCTATTTTGATGGATTAGAAATTTAGGAAGGGGAATAAGGGCATAGAATGCCAGCTTGATCCCACAAAACCTTATTGTTCAGGGGGGAGGAGATGGGAAAGAATGGGGAGCTGAGTTTGAAGTTCAGTTGTAAAGTCATGATTTGTACAGTGGCTCATTCCACAGATGCCCATCAGCTTCCTTGTTAGCTTTTATGTCACTTTTTGCCCAACGTTGAATGACCAGGTAATGGAAAGCTCATTCATGCAGTGGTGGCTGCACACATCTGGGCAGTCTGTGTGGAGGGGAGGAAGAGAAAAATGTGGGATTCCACCTTTGTTTTTAGAAATTACCAGGGGGAAGCCCTGTGGGACTGGAGGCTGCACCCAGTAGGTGCTTCACTCCCTGCCATTAGGGAAGGATAAATAAAAACCCCTGTTGGCACTGCATCAAGAAGTAGCACTGGGATAAAGAGCACCCGAGTGGGTTCAGCTCAGCTGCTCTTGGCACAGAGCTTGTTTATCCTGTTTGCCCTGTCTCTCAGAGCATCATTCACTCCATCCCCAGACACATGCTCTTATGATAATTTCTGTAATTCTATTATCTTGGAGGAAATAGCCTTTACTGTCCATTTGATTTATTTCTTTATTATTTCTTTTTTTCCAGAGAGCTTGGCTGCTTGGTCTTTCAGTTTAACCCTTTGTGGATACATGTGTTTGCCTTTCCAGGGCATAGAGATGAGATGTTTTCCCATTCTGTCTTCTTGGTTTTCATGTATAAGTAGTATTATAACTGAGATTTTGTTTGTTTCTTTTTTGTCCCAATTAGAAATGAGCTAAAGTTTCACAGATTGGATCATAACCCATATTCCCCAAAAGCCAGTGCTTAAACTGAATAACTTGGAGACACCTGATCTGCAAAGGTAGCAAAGAGCTGTTGCATCAAGATGTGCAGGCATTTTAAATTTATTTGCCATGTTACTGAGATTTTCAGTGTTGTCTGTATGTGCAGATATTTTGTTTCTAACATCCCATGTTGGAGCTCCTGGTGAAATCCACTCAGGTTTGTGGTAGAATATATTTTTATGGCTAGGGAGAGTGATGTGGTAAGATGGCATCACCATACTGCATTGCAGAACCACATAGAGGAATTTGTATGGGCAGGGGGAAGCTACTCTACCCAAGAAGATCTGCAGTAACAGACTGCAGTCTTTTCTTTTTAGTAAACACACCACTTTTTAGAGGTGTTTTGCTTTGTTAAGATCAAATCTTAATCCACTCAGGTGATGAGGAAAAGAGTATTTTTCCACCTTTGTCTGGGGTGTTGATGCTCCTTCTATAAAAAGCCAGTACTGCTTTTCTCTCTAGTGGCTGCAAGGTTGCAGAAGCAGGCCCAAATCAACTCACCTGGACACAGATGGTACCTTTGTGTGGTGGTGGTGACAATTCTGTGTGTTCTGTTTGGTCAGACTCAAAGAGGTTTGTAATGGTAGGGAATGGGGAGGAAGCCAGCCGAGGCTTTTCTTCAAGTACAAAAGCAAAGCCTGGTTGCACATTGCCACTGACAAACAGTTCTAATGAAAAAATACTTTTTGCATGACCACTTTCGTTCTTCTTTTTTTATTTTAATGGAAAACATTCTTGTAAACCACCTGAAAATTGGAAATGTTGGAATTGATTTTCTTTGATACGCTAAGACATTCTCTCATTCATTTTAGCCACCAAATGACCTTTTAAATGTTTTGTTTTCTTCAGAAATATTTTATTTTGGGATTTTGCCAAAAACCCCTATCAGAAAGCCCTGCAATTCATTGCCCAGTTAAACTGGGAGCACTGCTGGGTATTACATAAGTGGAGCTGCTGAGGGTTAGGCAGAAAAAGCATTTCCTGTTTTGAAAGCACAGTTTTAGGAGGTCAGAGCTTTCCAAATTTGAGGACTTTGGGTGAAATTTTCCATTCCGAAGTTTTCTATAGATGGAATTATTTGTGGAAACTTGAAAAAAAAGTACAGTGGTTGTTTCCAAGAACATGACCAGGGAAGAGCATATTGCTTTACTTATGGTGGAAAAAGGAGTAAGTGGGCACAGTGGATGGAAAGCACCAGAGCCCTGGATGAGGAGCTCTGGTTCTGCAGGGATCTCCTGGGGGACAATGAGGTGCTTTTTGAAAGCTTTTTCTGGGTTTGTTAGGTCTGAGGCCTCCATCTGAGCATGCTCTGTGTTAGCTGTTAGCTGAGCTGCCAAATCCTCCCTGAAACTTTTGTCTGTGCAGGGCATAATTCAGCTGAAGGCTGCAGTTACAGAGCCAAGCGTTATCAGTCATTACTGCTCATAAAGATAAGGCCAACTGTGAGATGGGAGTACTGGAGGCCTCATTTCACTTGCATTCAGGTAGTGAGGGAGAGGGTAATAAGAAGAAGGGACTAGGGAGAGAAATGATGATTGGTAGGAGGGTGAGAGTGGGACAGAGCCCAAAGTGCTGTTGGTGCTGGGTGAAAACAGCAGAGAGAGGGGTTTCTGCTCTGCGTGGCTCCAGCGTCTGCCAGGTAGATGGAGGGTCCGTGGCTAACTTGCTCCTGGTTGAGTCCCTCTCCCTCCTGCCCTGCAGAGGTGTGTAGTAGCTCACAGAAGCATTTAAAGTCTGTGCTGCCTCTTTCAGATTCACTGTTCAGGTTTACTGTGGGATTTAAAGAGGCTTCACCTTTACATTGTCTGCACAGTCCTGGCAGCTTCTCTGGCTTCCACGTGAGTGGAGAAAGCAGCTGGGGCCGTGTGTGCTGGTGATGCTCTGTGCCACATCAGCTCCTGGCATATAACCTAACATAGGGGAGCATCTTCCTGTGTGAGTGAAGGCACCCCTCTGCTCCCGGGGGGCTGCTCGTGCCCCATCTCGTCTTATAATTGTTGTGTCAGTTGTCTGAAGAGAAATAGCTCTGCTCCATAGGTTTGAGAGGAAGAAAAAGACATTTGAGGTGGGGAAAGCAGTTTTGGCCCATTTAAGCTTTATGCCACACACCGGTCACCTTGGGAAATGTCCAGAACAGTTCATGTCTGGGAGTTCAGTGCATGGGCAGGACCAGAACCTTTGCTGAACACAGGAATCCGCAAAGGTCCTGGAGCTGCTCTCAACAGTTGGAAAAGTGTTGCTGTAACTATTTTGGCATGTTGAAATCTATGTAGTTATCTGTAGCTGTCTGGAGATGGTGGTCTAGATAGACATGTAGCTTGGTTTTGACAAGGGCAAATAGAGCTGGAGCTGTCCTCATATGTGATTTAGAGAGTCATAGAAGCATAGAATGGTTGGGGTTGGAAAGGACCTTAAGATCATCTAGTTCCAGCCCCCTGACTTGTGGAAGAACACAGGTTTAGGTGTCAGCTAATCCTCTCCTGAAACAGGAGAGCCTCAAATCCCCTTCACAAGCAGTAGTGGGGTTTAGCAGTTTGTTCAGTGAACATTACCTGTACCTATCTTTGGCAGTAAAATTGTTGTGTTCTGACAACACCCCAAGGAACGGCTGAGATTGGTTTAGCTTGAAAATTGCCAGGAGCCCTCTTATCTTTCTGCAGCACAAAGTGTGGTGGGATTGTCCTGTGATGGAAGTCTATGGTGCCCTCTGCCAAAGACTGTACTTGTGTTATGTGTTGTGTGTAGCTCATTTGTTGAGGATTATACTTAAATCCTCAACAAAACCCTAGCAAGTTATGCAGGTCTGTTTGTTCTCAGGTGTCTTCTGCTCATTCTGCTCATTTCACAGTTGTCTTCTCCAGATGCTTTCCTGTGCTCTTAGCCTTAGCTTCATAAAAGTGCGTATGAACTCCAGTTACATGAGCTGTTAAAGTTGCAATAACACTTGAGGACTGAATATCTATAAATAAAAAGTTTACATTTTATTTCAGTTTCATCACTGAACAGAGTATATACATGTTTGTTTATCATATATTGATTTGGCCTCTGTAGATCAGTCAGTGATCAGAGATGGCAACGTGAGAAACCTAACAGTGGTTACCTCAGAAGTAGGTCTCTGTTTCTCAGTTCCATTTTCAACTTCATACTCCAGCAGCTAAACAGTGGTTCCACTTGTAAAGCTCATTATAAATCAGACACAAGTAGCTTTGATGCCTTTGGAGGAAATAAATATCATAGCGATATCTTCTCTGTAACAGGGAAATTACAGTATTCTGAGGAAAGAAAATGGCCTTCCTGAGGCAATGTATAGAAAATACTTATTTAATAATAACGCTTGTGAGCCAGGATGGCATATTGTACAGTAAAAGCCTTTCTCTGTAGTGTTCACACTTCAAATAACAGAAAAAAAGAAAGGGCTGAGATATCATCAGAAGTACTGAACTCATTGGAAAAAATAATAGTTTTCTGTTCATTTTACTTTTTTTTTTCTCTCCCAATAAGTCAAGGTCTACTTTCTGTTTCCCTACTCTTAAATCTGATGTAAGAGCAATTCACTTGGCATCTCTGTGGGTTTAACAGAGGGGAATTGAGAGCAGGATGAAACCCAACATCTATGTAAGTACTGACAGTTCTAAATGACAACTAAGGGTTCATGGCAGTAGTGTGGTTTTGAAAAAGTGGCTGCAGAAATAATCCAACAGTCCCCAGGACACAAACAAGGACGAATATCCAGAGGAACAGCCTGTCCACTACCATGGCAACATACTTCCAATCTTCAATGACCTGAAAGAAAAAGCCAGTTAAAGGTATTAGCAATTGGTCGTATTCTTTTGCTC